TTCCTCGTCCCTCCGAATGCTTCCCCTCAGTCTCCCGCTCCTTGCGTCCTGATCATTACCGGACTCGACGGCTACCGAACCGAACTGGCAGTGTGGCAGCAGGGCTGGCTTCAAAAGGGGGTGGCCACCGTCATCGCCGAGATCCCAGGCACTGGCGACTCCCCGGCCCTTCGTCAAGATCCCACCAGCCCGGACCGTCAGTGGTCCAGCGTTCTAGACTGGATTGACACGCAAAAAGAGATCGACAACAAGAAAATCATTGTCTGGGGATTCTCAACAGGTGGATATTATGCACTCAGACTCGCCCACACGCACCATGACCGGGTCTTCGCTAGCATTAGCTTAGGCGGTGGATGCCACCATGTAGGTCACGGTGTTTCTATTTCCCCCGGTATTATCGCGGCCTTTGCGCGAGACTGACGTAGATTTCAGATGTTTGACAGGGAGTGGCTTGAAAACGTGAACAAGCTCGAGTATCCTTTCGATCTCGCCAACACCTTGACATACAAGTTCGGCTACCCCGACTTGGAATCCTTCATCCAAGACGCAGCCAAATTTTCGTTATTGAATGACGGCACGCTGGAGAAACCGTGTACCAAGGTACTGCTGGTCAACGGTAACGACGACGAAATCTTCCCAATTGATGACATGTTTGTTGCTCTGGAACACGGCGGACCGAAGCTGGCGAGAATGGTCAAGGGCAAGAAGCATATGGGAGTAAGTTGCCCCAGAGCACAGTGACAGCCTCTCCAAATGAAAGCCCCCCTTTTGGTCAAGGTATGTGCTTGATTGCTCGGAGCTGACGCAGGTGAACAGGAACCGGACAGTTTCTTCATCATCTTGAAGTGGATTTATGGAGTGCTTGGACTGGAAGGGAACATAATGGACCAAATGAAGCTGTTGCCCTCGCGCACGAAATATTAGCTGCGTTGCAACAAGGACATGGAATTCCATCTTCTTGCACCTATTTTCGGACGTGACATTTAGCGGGACACGCCAGTGGAGCTTTAGGTGGACCGAAGAGCATATAGAGCAGCATCGCGTGGACAGGAAATAGCAGAGGCGGAGCGAAAAGCAGTGTGTATAACTCTAGCATTACAGAACAGTTGTCGACAATAGCATTGCCATCTCTTGTGATCGGACGGGTATGGCCTCTTGAAGCTAGAAGCGAAACCAATGGTCGACCACTGCTGTTACAAGCACCAGGCTAGTTTTCGGCGCGATCTCTTGATTGGGGCTGGCTGCAGACGATGCTGATCAAAGCCTATCAGGGCACACCTGGGCGTACGAGGTACCCAGCGAGCTAGGCCCCTTACCACCCCTAACACCCCTTTCGGTGGCTGGTAATTGGGGCTCGTGCATGGGCGGGATCGTCGGGCTGCATTTTCTTCCAAGTTTGTTCATCCAACCAAGTACGACGGCAACGGCGACTGCGACAGCAGAGCGATCCTCTAGTAAATTGCCCGTTTGTCGACATCTTTAACTCTGTGCCACATCTCGCAAGGAGATTATTACTGACCTCTTCCTTCGCCCTGTCTGTTTTGTGTCTTGCAGTTAATCGACAAGGCCTGCTTGCTTGCTTGTTTGCGCTGTGAGAAGCTAGCTGGTTTCTATCTTTCTGGCGCCTTCGCATTGATTGACATGTTTATTGTTTCGCTCCCGCCCACGCGTCGGGACGCCGTGCTCGACTCGATTCTCCTCTACCAGCTGCAGAGAAATCATTACGCTCGCGTGCGCTCGCCTTCTTGCTTCTTTTTTCTCGCGCCGCGTTTTCGGTGGGGGGGAAAGAAAAAGGAAATAAAGGGAAAAGAGAAGGAAAAGTAAGTGAGGCTGGGGAGGTGTCATGAAGAATTTCGCATGCCGCTTTGCTGTGATGGCCACGGGATCAATGAGTCGAGGACTGGCATGTGCTTCTTTTGAGGGGGCATTGATTGCTTGTGATTTTCGGACATGGATGGATGGTTTGGGCAATGAGTATCTGGATACTACTATTGATAGTACTTACTGGGAGGTATTTCGGTATTGTGACAGACTCCAGTTTCTACGGTCAGCCATAGACACGTGACATGGGTTCTACGGTCGATCATGAACGCATGTCCAACTTGCCGAGTCCCTCGTCGCTTACAAACCTTGGTGGAACAAAAAGTGTTGGCGATGACGATGACGACCACGACGATGGTGCTTGACGGGGTATATATCTCCGATCCAAGTGGAGAGAGTACTCTGCTGGCTGGTTGACCGACTACCTGGTGACTAGGTCGAGGCCTTCTTCTATACGGCGCCTCAAAAGTGGTGGTCCATGCCCAAAGGTACTAGGTACTGTAGTTGCTAGCCTGATGCTGATGCCCTATTGGTGTATGAAAGGGATTTCTCTCAGCACATTTAGCACGTAGCAAGAGAACGGGCATGAGGAAGTTCAAACGGTCGGTGCCTCTGCAGTCTCTCTATCTCTCCCTGTTAATGTCTCTCCCGGATCCATCCATTCAGTAGTTGGTCTGTCTGCTCTGCTCCGTTCTTGCTGAGGAACCAACGTTCCGATCGACGCCTCTAGCGCTCTGTGCGTTCTTCATTGGCCTTTTGCTTCTTCTTGACAGCTTCGTTCTTTTACTCTGCCACATCTCCTGCATGCCTTTGATGTTCATCCATAATCCGCACATATTTTCTGATTCATAACACCGTCTCAGCTGCGATCGCATGTCTCCAGCCATGATACCAAAGCTTTCGGATATCCGCTGGCTTGACTATCACAGCTTCAACATCGGTAGCGATCGTAGCAGGTATTTCACAGCTTAGAAGTCTCTCCGCCGTCCGGATGTCGTTCCCAAACCTTCCAGGAAATGGGGTTTTGCCAACCCATTAGATTCCTTTGTACCGAAGAGGTCCCTGGTCTGACTCTAACTGTAAATATGCGTTCGAAATGATCCTGACTTCCTTGATATCGACTTCCTTCTGATCTGGATGCTCGGGGTTCGCGGTAACACTGATCAATACGAACTTGGAGACTTCGGGCGTTCGTTTCAGGTAGAGATCTCGGACGTCGAGTAGACTCTCCCGAGATTAGGAAACACCAACTTCGACAACGGTAGGTAAATTAGGAACGAGGGCATCTTCGATGCATGCAATGCCCAAGTCTGGCTCTCTTATTGACCCTCACCATGTTCGCTCGAATCCGTTCCAGTCGTCACCACGCATCATGTAGAATTTTTCAAGAACCGACACGTCGAATTGCTGTTTGACGAGGTCACTGAGCCATTCGAGGATATAACAGTGTCTCGGGCCAGGCATTGGGGAGAGAGTGAGGATTGACTTGTGAGCATCGGACGAGACTTTGAACCCGAGTCTACAGGTGATTTAGTATATGATTCGCTAGATCTCTCTCTCTCACTCTCTCTCTCTCTCTCTCTCTCACACACACAGCGAGCTTACTGTCTTCTGTTAGACCGAAAGTCACCGTCTTTAAGCAGCTGGTACAAAGATAACTCGGGTAGGATGAAATCGTGGGGCTTCTCTGTGAAATAAAAGTAATTGCCCGGCCAAGCAATCTTTCAACATGTCCGAGCTTCGTCTGCTTGATCCGCGGGGGAGCCTGCTGTAGAGTCACATCATCCTTGGTGTGCGGCGCTGTGATTATATGGACGTAATCAAGGGTCTCGTGAGCATGGATGGGAGAGTACTGTGAAGCAGAGTCTGTCCGGCCGAATCCTTTGCGAAGGCTGCTTCATTAGTTTGGTCTATGGTCGTAACGCCGAGAACTAAGAATGCCGAGACGATAACGAAGACGTTTTGGCGGGCGCGGGAAAGTGAAGGAAAAATAAATCGCTTCGTGAGAGTAAGAGGCGAATACAGCAGACTGAAAGAAAATGGTTTAATGTCAACGGTGACGTTATAGGCATCGGACGATTTGTTTGTAGCAGGTGAGCCTACAATATGGGATCATGCAACCTTTTTGCCTGGCGTTCAAGTGTCTGTCTGTCTATAATCCATGGACTATCTCAAATTTCTCATGATGCGAGGCCAACTTGAACTTTCAAGGGCTAAAGTAATAGGGAGGGCTACTTGGTCGTCAAGACTAGTTCAACTGTTTAACCCATCCGATGATCTCGCTTATGGCTTATTCGGTATGGTTATGCACAGTACCTTCAGATCTGAGATCGGCGGGCGGAAGGGCGTTGCCAAGAAACTCGCTTAAGTTGCCCAATCAGCATTGGCGTATAATTAGTTTGCGACCATGGTACGTCGGCGCATTGTTTGTCGAGGAGGGCTAGGTAGAAATAGGCCTTGACTATGCATAAGTCATGAGGGGGACGAAAGGAGGTTGAGTAAAGAGATGGATGATGACTAGCACATCGACACTCCCGTCGTTGGATGCAGTCCCGGACTTTCTTAATGTTTGACACTGAGCGAATACTGAGCTGAAGATATAAAGCTGGAATATGATAGTGACAAAGACTGGAGATATTTGTCAGAAACTATACTTCAAAATTCTGCTTTCTTTCTTGCAAAGGGTGTCAACGGGTGAAGAAACCTTATCAGAAGCACTCGAATAGAGGAGATAGCCTGGCTCAAGCAAACTCAGTAGGCGTCCTCGAAGAGGCGGCCACGACATGGTTGGTGACGAGATAGATGGGTGTAGATAGTCAAGACCATGTCTTCAGATGTTGAATGGGGGAAGACTATAACCAACACTGCAGGTGAGGCGAGGAAATAGGAGTAGAAAACGACTTTTGTTACGAACCAGGCCTCTTGTGTGATCTAAATGGAGGAAAAGGTAAGGAAGGTCGGCCGAGGAGGATGGGGTTATTGACATGTTAATTGCCTGCACCTAGCACTGTCCCAGCCGGCGAACCAGGCTGACCATCACATTGCTCGCTCCCGGCCTTTTCCCTCGCAGCTTTTCCCCTCGCGGCTTTCGTGGCGGCTTGTTGTGCGGCAGCGACCTTTTTGAGATTCTTCCACTCTATCGCCAACGCGCCGAGCACTGGCTTGTTTGTAACCACAAGATGGTGACCGTCACAAACGTCCTTCGGCGTGCGAGCGCGGCCAATTTCTTTGACAGTGGGAGCTCAAGCGGCGAATCCTCGAGAAGACCCTCAGCCGCCGAAGCGTATGCTCCTCGGCGGCCCAGTCTTGCGGCCCTGTCGCTGAGGCTCTCCTCATGGTCCAAGAGGTCGCATTTTTCAAAGGGAATCGAGACCGACGCCGACTCCGCGTGAGTACATCAAGAGAGGGTTGGCACTTGAGAAGATTGCGATGCTTATGTGTGACTGGACAGGCAAAGATTATGGGACACCATCCTCTCATTACCCGATGAAATCACGGCTCAGATTCTCTGCTATCTGTCCGTGTCCGACTTCTTGAGCCTTCGTTCAACGTCTCGTTCCGTCTACGTATATCTGCGGTCTCATGCCGGCCCGATCACGCGATCTCTACTGCTTCAATATGCCTACGAGCAGACAAGTGACTATGAGGGCAGTACGAACGATGAGAAGGCGGAATACCTCTACAACTACCTCCATACTTTGTACCCTCCACCACAGCCATGCAACTCGTTCGACTATTTACTGCAAATGTTAAAACGACAAGGCCAAGTTCAAAGGATGTTGCAAGTCATGACCAATTGGATCCAAATGAAAGTTTATGTCATTCCCAAGTTTAAACGGTGTGATAATTTCAACCCGTACAAATTCAAGCTCGTGAGGCGGCTCCATCTAGCAACGTGGACCATGTATCATTTTCTGGAGAGTTATCGGACAATGCTTGTCACAGAGCATCCCATTCATGCAAAGCTCGAGTCAGCAAATGCCGGACATAACGACTCCGACAGAACCTGCCCTTCTTGTTCACAGTCTGTCAAAGATCTTCTGCGCACATACCCTGGGACTGGAATCATCCCTGCCTATCATTTCTATGAACTCTGTCGACAACATCTTCGCGCTTTAAGTCGAGCCCCTTCGGCTGGTACGATAATTCGATCTCGCAAGCCACCCAGCGAAACAGATCTTGTACAGTTCGTTGTGCTCGGCGGCATCCCTGAGCTGAGTAAACTGAGTCTGCTCAAAGGTTCGGCAAATCAGCGTATCGAGGTGATTGGGAGTTTTGTGGACAAGATCTCAAGCGCAGCAATACGGCAGAGGATAGGCCGAAAAGGTTCCTCTTCTCAATCCGAAGACCTTTCCCGGCATACCGCCTTGTGGTCCTCGTTTGACGATGTCGTTGCCCCTCTTCAGCCACCTTTCTCCCTCATCCATCACAATACCATATCGGCTATTCCAGAGCTCGAGCAATTCATCATCGATTCAGACGAATGGGTCACCCGAATGTATGAGCTTGTAAGACCAGGGGATCAAATAGTGAGTGCCTGGGGATTCATAACGAACATTCTCTCGGGAAAGAGCGAGGATGCGGCAGATGCTGGGCTTAAAATTGGGGCGGACAGTGATCTCGACTTTCTGACACCTGTTAAAGGGTTTGATACCTGAATTATGACTAGCGGAACAGTAGGATGGTGAGTCATCCTTCCGTCTAACAAAGAGAACCCGTGAACCATGATTTTGGGCTGGGTTCGAGACCTCACGGTCCGGTGGGCCATGGAATGAATTTATGTTCTCTCGACGCTAACGTAGCACAATCGAGCCCATTGAACGGGTGCACTTCCATCACATTGCAGCATCAATACCGCTGTTTGATGGATTCGGATTCCTTTACCTCATCTCGATGCGGGACTTGACAAGGACGAAAGGGCACCAAAGACAGTGGGTTTTGAGAAGTCGCTTTGTAAGGAAGGACAAGAGCGGCTCTGACTTGGTCACGAATGAACCGGCGTCGAGACGTGCTTCGGCCTAGCAGAAGACCAGATGAGCAGCACGGAGGAAGGTGTTCATCGCCTGGAGATGACGGTGGGTAGTTGACGGTGTACGAATATATGACGGCCAGACTGAAAAAGAAGTGAGAGGCTGGCTTTGGAAACGCTAAGCTGTCTGCTGGCAGGTATATGTCAGGCAAGTCTGCTCAGGCCCTGGTTTTGCTTGTTTGAAGAGCGGACCACATTGGAGCAAATGGCTAGCGGCCGAAAGCTGGGATGGATATCGAGGCAACTACGAGTACTAGGTACACAAACTCTGTGTAGGATTGGATACATTCGAGCTGTCAACTCCCTAATTAGCTGCTCTGGAGCTTGTGTCCCTGCTATTGCTTTGCCTTGCCTGGCCTTGTGCTGTCCTATCCTCTCCGGTCCTGTCTTGCCTTGGGCTCGCGCTCTATCCCCAGATCAAATCTATGCGCTCCCCGACGACCTTGCTGTTGAACCACTCGAGAATGTCGATGCTCGACTTGACGGTGCTCGCCCCTTGGAGGACATTTGCCTCAACGACACGCGCAACGGCACAGAACAGCTCCACCGTGGCCAGGTTCCTCGCGATGCACTGCCGGCTGCCGAGCCCAAAGGGGATGGCGTCCCGCAACATCTCGTCCGAGGGCTCGAGCCAGCGCTCGGGCACGAAGGCGCGCGGGTTGTGGAAGACGCGCTCGTTCAGGTGCAAAGAGTATGGCGTGCAGCTGACCTCTGTGCCCGCGGGGAAGTAATAGTCGGTGTTGTTGGACATGTTGTGCTTGAACGTCCAGCCTCCCTTTGGCACCACGCGCGGCAGTCGCGACGGATTGGCCATGGACAGGCGCAGTCCTTCTTTCACGACGCCCCGCAGATACGGCAGAGACTGCAGCTCGTCGAACCCGGGCCTGTGCGTCAGCCCCAGGATTTCTTCACGCAGCCGAGCGTGGCACTCCGGATGGCGGACGAGCATGAACAGGATCGTCGCCAGGTTCATCCCCGTGCTGTCGGTGCCTGCGAATATGAGGTCCTTGCACTGTGCGCGCGTCTCGGACGGTGTGAAGCCGGCCTGAAGGAGACGCGCAGGGTACGATGTCAACGGGTGCTGGCTCGAGACGGCGGTAGTCTTTTCATCAGTAGTGGTGGTGGACGTGGAAGCTTTGATAGCTTCTTCCGCATCGCGCACGACGCTCGCGACGAATTCGTCCACCCGGGCCAGGCTCTGCGACACTTGCTCGTCTGCGTTCCACCATGCGTCCAACGACTCGACGATCTTGAACGCCCAATTTGGCAGGTACCAAAACCTGCCGACCGCGACGAACGAATCGACCATGCCGGTGGCGCTCATCGGCTCGGCCAGCTCGCGCTGCACGGCCATTTTCTCGTCCTCCCGCTGCGACTTCCCCTCGTTGAGTCCGCCGTAGCTGGTTCCAAAGAGATACGACGTCACGGCGTCGACGGCCAGTCCTCGCGTCAAGTTCAGGACGTTCAACGGTTCCCCACCCTGTTGGCTCGCCTTCTTGCCCCCGGCCAGCCGCTCTACAAACCTGTCTACGCATTTGTAGATGACGTCCTGGCTTTGTCGCAGGTTCGAGGTCGAGAACAAGACGGCAACCGCCTTCGCGCGAGGGGCCCGTATGGAAGGGTCAACCTCCGAGAAGATCGAGTTATGGACCTGCGTGGCGTCCGGGAGCGCAAAGTTTTCGTAAAAGGCCGGCTTGACAAAGCCCCCTCGTTCGGTGTATATCGTGGCCAACGCCGAGCCGTCAGAGATGTCGACACTGTCCGGCCCATTGCGGACCACCGGGCCGTATTGCTGGTGTAGCGCCTCGACAACCGACGCCTCGTCGCCGATCCACGCATGGTAGGTCAGCCACAACGAGGAAATGCGAGGGAGAAGAGGGCCGGGGACCTGGGAGAGCGGATGCAATGGGGAGATGCGGTAGAGGGAGCGCAGGACGAGCCAAACGAGTGGGAAGAGAAGAGTGACGAGGAATGCGTGCGAGAGCATAGCAGACACCAATGCGCCGCCAACGCTGGATAGAGCCATGATGTCTAACCGCCCGGAGAATTTAACCAAAAAAAAAGAAAGACGAATGAGATCTATTTCTATCCGGTGCGCGGAAACACACAAACCAAGGATGCGGAGGCGGGTGAAAGAAACAATTATAGTCGAGGGGAAAGAGTCATATGTGTCGCCCGCGTCCAGCCTTTTCATCACATGCGATCCGTGTTTTACAAGACGTGCTGAAGCCCGGATACGTAGCCCGCCAGCCCATTTGAAGCGCGCTGATGGCCGCAGGGACTTACTACTGGTGGGTAAACCAGAGCGTGGATGTCCTTCCAATGGCTCTTGCAAGACGGACAACAGCGTACACAGCGACTGATGGGGGAAGTTCTTGATAACGCAGCGGCGATGGCGCTGGAGGGGGTATAAGGGAAAGTCAAAAACATACATGTAGGAAATAGACCCGACGCAACTTCAGGCTCGCGGGGCAGGAACACCAAGCGAAAGAGATCTGAGTTTTTGCAAAGTTGGTTTTGATAACTTACTTGGTACGCTTGTAGCAGACTTGCTTAGGTCCGCTCAGTCGCAACTCCACATCCCTTGGCAGTGCTCGAGACTCCAGCAAGCAAGCAAACAAACAAACAAACAAGTGAATTGAGAAGGCACCGTCATGGGTTCCATCCAGGGCACCAGTGCAGGGCACACTGCAGAGTCCAGCCGCAAGATCATCGTCGCTGGGGCCCAGCTGGGACCGATCAATGTCGATACGCCGCGGTCCGAGGGGATCAGCCGAATGCTCAAGTTGATGGACGACGCGCACCAGCAACATGCCAAATTGATTGTGTACCCCGAAATCGCGCCGGTGACCTTCTTCCCTCGTCATATCCTAGAGGGAGAGGAGCTGGAACAGTACTTTGAGCAGGAGGTTGACGGGGATGCGACGAAGCTGCCGAACCTGAAGCCTCTCTTTGACAGAGCGCGAGAGTACAAGATGGACATGTGTCTCGGCTATGCCGAACACGCTGCCGAGTCGAGCGAGGTCGAACACGTCCATTACAACACCTGTGTCTATTACTCGGGAGCATCAGACAAAGTTATTTCCAAGTACCGCAAGGTTCACCTTCCGGGCACGTTTGAGCCGTACGAGCGGAAAGACGCAACGAACCAACTGGAGAAGCGATATTTTCGACCTGGAAATCTGGGGTTTGAAGCATTTCGAGCGCCGGGCTTGATCCCCGATGCCGTCAGTAAGAAATCGGGCGCAAAGGCCAACGAGCCCGACAGCCTGGGCAAGGGCGACGCCATCATCGGCATGCTCATCTGCAACGACCGACGCTGGCCAGAGGCGTGGAGGCCGTACGGCTTGCAAGGCGCCGAGCTAGTCCTGTGTGGCTATAACACGACAGCCTGGGCGCCGGAACTGATTGGGACGAACAAGAAGATCTCGACCCCGGACAAGGCCAAGCAAGAGGCTCTGTTCCACAACAAGCTGTGCATCACGTACAACAGCTACGCCAACGCCTGCTTCAGCATCAACGTGGCCAAGTGCGGCCTGGAGGACGGCAAGTACCCGCTGATCGGAGGCAGCTGCATTGTCGACTGTGACGGCGAGGTGGTGGTCGAGGCACAGACCGAGGACGACGAGCTCATTGTGGCTGAGATTGATCTGGGCATGTGCCGGCGCGGGAAGGAGAAGGTATTTGCCTTTGAGAGACACCGGCGGACCGAGCACTACGGGCGGATTGTGGAACAGACGGGTGTGGTTGAACCGGATTTGTTGTGAATTCTGGTAGAGACGGACATTGTTGTGTGTGTGTGTGTGGACTGCAGGCAGTGAGGCAGTTATAGAGCAGATTTAAAATAGGGGCACGGGGGTATCATAGGGAAGACTGGGGCGCTTGGGGATGCCCTTGGGGTGTCCAAGTGCCTAAAGTGTACCTACCCAGGCACCAGTCTTAACTAACTCACCCTTGGAAGGTCGGAGACTTGGCTTGGGCTAGTTTCCACAGGCGGGTGACGCCTTTCTGCCCTCGATGATAAGCGACACCCAAATATAGCCTGGGAATGTCCGACAGCCTCCCCGTCTACCGAGTACGGAGTACCTAAGCTATTCTGCCACCCCTGAGTTTGAGGCTTGAGCTCTCCCCCATGTTGATCGCGGTCAATCACTCGCACGCGTGTCAGCCCAGCTGTTGCTTTGCTGGAGACCCGAGAAGTTAGACGAGAAAAGCTAAGTTGACCTCTGTTGTTTATTTTGTCTATTATTGTTATCGCCTTCATCGCCATCCATTTTTTCCTCTCCTTCATCGTGTCCCGGATTCCCTAAATCTGTACCCCCTATATCCCGACACCTACATACACCAAGATTCCAGGCAGCCCCCGGGAGCTACACAGCCACCAGCCCGTTCGTATCAAGCACGCCATTCTTGGTCTCCCATTGGCGTGCCGGAGGATAAAACAGGCTTGCTCCTAGTCCACAGCCAAAGCCCCCAAAAGCTCGAGCCCAAGCCCACGAGGCGAGGGGCCCATCACCAACACAGGCAAACTCGCTTAGCAGATTCCGAGCAGTCGAGTCTCGCGCCTTTTCGGACCTACCAAGGAAGAGGGAGGAGAAAAAAAAACAAATTAGAAAAACGAGAGGGCGAAACCATGGCCGATTTACAACGACAACAAACCCAATCACCTCCCACTATCCTCCAACCTCATCAAGAAGACCATCCTCATCCTCTCTCCCTACGGCCTGGCGGATCGAGATCTAGCTCTCCTCAGCCGCAACAGCCTCTTCTCTCCAGCTACGAGCAGCTCGAGGCCGATCCCGCCATGTCGTCTTATCAGCGCATCTCATCGGGCGCCGGACCGGGCAACTTTGGAGCTCCTGGTCCTCAATCACCGCCTCTGCCATCGTCATCGTCGGCCACCTACGCCAGCGCACGATTCCCCAGCCAGTACTTCCCACCCCAGTCGCCGACCAACGAGCAGGCCACGTCTTCTGCGAACCCTTTCGCCGATGGGCCAGCAGGTTCGCGCTCTCGAAGCAGCACCATCGGCCAGAACTACCCAATCGCCGTCGCGCCGCCCATGCCAACGTCACCACCCCAGCAATCCATCCAACCGCTCTTTGCCCAGCACAGCGGCCATGCCGGGTCGTCGTCCCGCCCAGTCTCCCGCTCCGCCCCTGGGGGTGGCCCCGGCTCAATGGGCGGATCCATGCCATCAATGCCCACTGGTAGCGGAGGGAGTGGTCCCAGCACACGCCCCACCAGTGCAAAGTCGCCCTTCTCGCCACCCATCACCTCCCCGCCACGCAACCGTCCGCATCAGATCCTCCTAATCAACCCAAACTCCACGCGCTCCATGACCGAGGCTATGCTCCAGTCCTTGCGACCCGTCATTCCCCAGGGAGTGGAGGTGACAGGCTACACCGCCCCTTACCCGGCACCCACGGCCATCGAGTCCACAACAGATGCCATCATGTCCACGGAAGCGGTGCTACGAGACCTGGCCAAACACGCTGCCTCGAACGGCGAGACCGTCCAGAACTACGACGGCATGATTGTGGCCTGCTTCAGCAAGCACCCGCTTATCGACGCTCTACGGGAGTCTTATGACGTGCCCATCATCGGCATCATGGAGGCGGGTGTCTACGTGGCACGCATGCTGGGTGGACGGTTCGGCATCGTCGCCACGGCGCAACGCTCCAGGATCAAGCAGGACGACGACATCGCCGCTTACGGCCTCTCGCATTTCTACGTCGGGAGCGAGGCCACCCACCTTGGTGTGCTCGAGCTTGACTCCCGCCCGAAGGATGAGGTCGCCAAACGCGTTGCACACTGTGCCCGCGCGTTGGTCATCAAGGGCGCCGACACCATCCTGTTGGGCTGCGCAGGCATGACGGATATGGTGCGCGCGGCCAAGGACGCGGTCAGGGATGAGGACGGACGACGCACCGTGAATGTCATTGACAGTGTCGAGGCCGGCGTCATGATGATGAATAGTCTGATTGGCATGGGGATCCCGACCAGTAAGAAAGGCATGTATAAAGGGGAGAAGGAAGGCAGGAGAACGCGAGGCCAGAATTGGTTGTGATTTTCTCTCCGGGCAGAGTGCTGGCTGGTCAGGAACGGAAAGGAATGAGCGTATGTGCCGCTGAAGGAACGAAGGGAGGAACACTGCGGACCGGGACTGTGCGAGAGGTATTCCTTGAGCGAAACACAACATGTCTGCGTCTACTCCGCCGAGCGAGACAAGTTGGGGGAGGCCGGATTTGACTGTCCCGTTTTCCTCAACACTGCTGGGAAGGAATAATGGAGCAGAGAAGACGGGTGGAATTTTGTGAGCCCCGTGCTTCAATGGCGGCGAAGTGATGGAAGAGATGAGATGAAATGAGATGAGACGAGATGAGACAAAGATGGGATGATTCTTGGTGGTTATTATTGGATCAGTGATAAGGCGGGCTTGCTTTGGAAGAGTAGCCCTGAGGCACTAGAGCCATAAAGCTATTTATACAGAAGACTGCTCCAAGGGTCACCCCCCGAGTTTGCTTGAGGAATCTGGAAAGAAGACAATGAATGGATATTCTCTGTACACGAGTGAGCGAGCGAGTGAGTACGGAGTAATGTAATCTATTTTTGCCTTTAATTTACTTTGCCTGCTTGCTTGGATGCTTGCTTCTTGCTTGGATGCTTGCTTCTTGCTTGGATGCTTGCTTCTTGCTTGGATGTATAGCGCGGTAGAGACTACCGTAGGATGCATGGGCTACAGCATAAGCGAGCGCAAGTCAAGGTTTTCGGGATGTTAAGACACTTATTTCGTCTTAAACCGTAATGCTTTCTTTATTTTATTCCGCTTCGATTTGGCTTAACTTGCTTCATTTCCGCCGGGGTATTATGCGGATATACTACCTAATCATAGCCTATATAGATAGGTATGTATGCGGTTAGTTAGTTAAATATAAATATATGTATTCAGGGAGATAGGGCTGCCTCGGGTGGGCTCTGTCGAGAAAAGTTCAAGTCAAGACAGGTATCGCCCGACAATGGCGGGCGAGAAATGTGGTCTGTCTGGATCCCCCTTCTTCACATCGCATCGCATTACAGCCGGCCCTCCCTGTACACGTATGCCCTATAACGAGGTCCAGCCTTCTCCGCTTTTCCGGGCCAGTTACTGGTGAGGCCCAGCTGCTCTCCGCTCGCGGCCAGAGATCAGATAGACGCTGGCTCTCATGTCGATGATGGGGTCGTCGCTTGCCTCTACGCCCTCGACGCGGGGCACGGGGTCGAAGATGATGGTGCGCTGTTTCTCGTCGTTGTCGTCGGCCACGTTCTCAAGCTTAATGGAGCCCAACTTGACCAGCTTGCGCGACTCGGGCCAGTGGATCGTCGCGTCATTGGTTGGGTCGCCATCCTCGGCTACTTGGGCCCACAGGGTAAACGACGCGCCGCCGTCGATGATACGCGTCTGGATCTCGTTGTGCAAGAAGGCCGGGTCTTTCAACTTCGCTTCCTCGTCCGTCAGGTGCGATTCCCCCGCGTCCGGCGTGATCCGGTACCGCACAAACGTGCCCTTGCCGTCTGACGAGACGAGTTTGAATGCATTGACCCCGAAATACTTTTCTGTCGCGAAGCTCGCCGGCGTGGGTTTAGGGGCGCCGACGAATGCTGCCGCCGAGGGCGTCTTCCCCAGGTATACTTCAATGGGCGAGGGTTTGGGGGCGTCCGGTGCCGAAGACGCGCCGATTGCCCCCAGGAGCTCGAGAAAGTCTTCGCCCGTGCGGACTGGGAAAAATGGCGTCGAGTGTGCGATGATATCGGTGTGTTGACGACGCCCGTTCTTCTCGGGCAGGACGAAACGCACGGCGATGCCTCGCGGGTTCGCGTCGCCGGCATTGTCGGGAATTTGGGGAATACCGGTCGAGTTTGAGAAGCGCACGACGATGGGTGTTGAACTGGCGTTGAGGTGAGGTGCTGAGCTTAGAGACCCCGCTTCCGAGGTGGGTGTGAATGTGCCATTGAGGAGAATCCCTCTTGCATGGGCTGGTCTGAAGCCTGGTGGTGTGTGGAATGCCCCTTGCAATGTCTTGACCAAGGTGGCAGCGGTCTCATTGGTCTTGTCATTGGTGGAGAGAGGCATGTTGAATATGGATGAATTTTGATCTGTTCGATGACTCGGGGTAGACAGGGCTCACGAAGGAAGGCGGCTTCTGTTTCTCCTTCGGTGTCTTTGACTTGCAATGTCTTCTTTCTTCCGTCTTCCTCTGAATGTTCCCCCATGCTTATATACCATATCCTGAGGGGTTTTTCCTTCAGGGCTCAAAGCTAAACAGGCACATTGCGTTCCCGGAATGTCAAATACCAAGCGGGCATCAGTCAGCAAGCATGATGGGATGGACCAGTGAGAACAGGACTATTACCATTCTCAGCTCCGCCATTTTGCCGCCATTGGACGAGAATATATCTTGTCCTGCTCGTCGTATCCTTAACTCGCTCGGGTTCATGCACAGGCTTAGTCAGTTTGACCTGCTAAGCTTGTTGGCCGTTTGCTTCTCTCCTCCATGGTGTCCTCACTCGCCCTGATTAGTTATGCCACCATTTGTCAAAATCGAAACCTGTGCCAAGTCAGTCTCTTCAAGCTCCATGGCATGATCTGGACATGAGCTAGCCCTCGCAGCCTGTCTCTGCCCGTGTGTTGTGCAGGGGGGACTTAAACCCTCGATTGCGTGCCCGTTGTGGATTTGATATGGGAATTGCGTGCTCGGCAGACTCGGGCTGGACGTGAACCATGCACCCAGTCTTTGTCGACTTCCGGGAGAATTTCGGTTCATCTTTCCTTCAAACCTAAATGCACAATGCGTACCGATCTTGCATGGTCAAGCAAGAGACTTGAATTGACATAAGCTGTGGGCGGGAGAATGCACAAGCGAGGTCCTTGTCCTCCACCGTACAACTGAAGTCTGTGTACTCTACCGTACTAAAAATGACGTCAATTCTTATCGAAAACAGAACTATGGTCAGCAGCCTCGTCCATCCACACAGATGATAAATATCGTCTTCAAACCAAACTTTCGTGCGCGTTTTGTGGAGTCTTAGGCGGTGGGCGCTGGTTTGGCGCAACGGAGAATCATTCACAGCTATGGATTCTGAGGAGCGTTAAGTCTTGCAACCGCTCCCGCCAGACGGCAAAGTCACTGTGGCTCCGCCTTTACCAAAACAATGAGACGGCCTCCTTGTGACACTAACGGTCTCTGACGCACAAAGACTCGCCGTTCACGATGTTAATTCGCTTGTCCAAGACCTCCAATCCTCTCTCCTGCCTTAAAGACCCAAGCCTCTCAAATGTGGTGGCGGTCTTGCCAAAGAAGCCGCAATCCAGCAACTTTGACAAGAGGTACGCGATTTCTGTGACTGCGTCAAAGCCGAAACAGAGACGGGCGAGCTACATTCACTGTCTTCTTTCCCGTCATTGCAATCTTTGCCACCAAGGTCACTCTCACACTATCTACGGATCAGCAGCATCGGCGTGGATAAATGGATGACTACGACCGCGATCTAGCACTTCGACAAAGTGGATGCGCCGTTGAGCCTTCTGCCTCTTGTTCGAAACTTCGATCCGTATGCTATTAACGGAGATCGACCTTGGGGACCCCCATTCGACGTGAATAGTGACGATTCTCATCCGCTGATAGAATAAGTCTTCTTTCCTATCAAGTGGCTGAGCAATCCCTAGTACAACATGATCGATGCATCTCTCTCCACTGGTGAGCTATCCCTCCCGGACATCCCTGCTCAGCCGGATGTATTGCTCAATAGCTTCCTGGCACAAACCACGTTCTGGCTCACTTATCCAAACTCGTCAAGCAAACCTTACCCGGCGTCCTCGATGGTAGGGTCAGTTTCTTCTACTTAACCATTTTACGACAAGGAAAAAATAAGCCTTTTGAAGTTGGGGCATGAGGTGCTTTGATCTGATCTTGCGTTCTATCTTCTCACGTCAAAGTGCTGGAGTCAATGCACCGTGGGGACTAACACTGGAGCGGTCTGCGTCATTATAACAGCGTTGTGCATGGTGATTGAGCGAGCCACCGACGGCGGATATCTTGTGTCGAGACTCGATTCCCGAGATGTCTTCCAAACCCCTAAAGGCATAGGGGTTCGGTTGTTCAGGATCCATAAATTGGCGGTCGAAGTCTGGAAGCCTATGCTGGTGGCAGCATTCTTCCTAATATATCTTGAATGTGGCAAGTCCGAGGTCGATGTTGATTCTGAGACTCGTCGTGAGAACGAAGCACGCCTTGTCATGGACATTTGGAGAGAGATGACCCAGAAGTAAGGAATTTGCGCAATGTTGTTACCCGTCGGTTGCCATAGTCCGTGGCAAGGGCGTGGAGATAGTATGGTGGGAGATTAGGTTACTACGCCGCGGTCAGGGACGACAGGACTGGTGGCTAGGGATGGGAGTGTATTAGAGTCACGAGCCAAGACAGCGTCGGTGAAGGCTTGTGGACCTTGTCCTGACGTCCATCATGTGAGAGTATTTGGTTCACGCAATCGAGATTCGGCCAATATCTTCTTAAAGGAGGAGCAAGAGAGAGCTATTCAAGGCAGTGAGCTCTGAAGGAGACCGCGAATGGCTACTCCTCATTGCACAAGCCTGTCCGGCGGTACCGGATGTGTTTGCTGTTGTTTTACACACACAAAAATCGAGTAATACTCACACCCAATTGTCTCGAAACATCTGTTCCCCTGCGCGGCTCAGTCAATAAGTATACTCGGAGAAAACTTGCGCTCATCAGATGCGGCTATCAAACCCCAGTGAATATACAACGCGGTCCATTCACAGGTCTACCATTCGAAATGTCTAACCCAGTCACGACAGATTTATCAGGTATGGAACCAACTCTCTTGTCCATTCCGCCTGTCCTACGCAAGGGGTGCTGCCTCACTTGGCGAACGTGTTCACTGGCAACCGATATACGTCGATCGTCCAGTACGGCCGCCTCGTGCCCTCCCACTGCTTGCTTCCATGCAGATCTGCGGGGACGGTGATGTCTTCCCACTCAGTTTCGAATCCTGCTTGGTAGAGATCGATCT